CCTAACCCTAACCCTAACCCTAACCCTAACCCTAACCCTAAACCTAACCCTAAACCTAACCCTAACCCTAAACCTAACGCTAAACCTAACCCTAAACCTTACCTTAACTTAAATCACGCTTCTGTCGGCGCGCTGTTGTCGGCGCCCTTCAGCGCTCATTCGTCCCCGCAGTTTTGCCGGTGCGGTTTTGTCACCGCGCTTTAGTCACACGCGCTTTTGTCATACGCGCATTTGTGGTGGAACCAGTTAACTAACGTGCAGAGGCCCCTCTTCTACTTCTGAAAATGCAGAGATTGCACATTCACTAGAAGGGTTATTATTCTCCTTCCCTTAGTTGTAACTTAATGCATCATTATCCTGATGTGAGAAACAGACTCAACCAGTCAAAAATTTTAGAGTCATGGTGAAGCAGCAAGCAGTTAATTGCATGTAAAAGGCGTTCTTGCAAGAATGAGTGGCTAGCAGATAGGCACACAAAGGAATACATTTCTTCAATTTTTTGATTCCTTTCACCCAAACCACAAATCCCTCCTTGCAGCCCCCTTTGACAAAGACCTCAGGGTTGCAATCTTCCCGGAACGCCTGATTCTCCATGCATTTCCCCATGTTTATTCTGTTTCCCCATCTTTGCACAGTTCCCTATTTTCCAGACTACCTTTTGTCTCTTTTTTAAAAAATTCTTAACCGATATTTCTTGTTTCCTTACCTTGCAGCATAAACATAATAAATTGAGGCAAGCGATTAATTTCTCCACTATATTGCTAGACTGCTGTTAACTAAGTTTTGCTTGGCCAAGCTGACTCCCTTACTGGAATAGCAGTCTCTTCCTGTTTTCCAGTCTTCAACTTTTTACCTTTAATGTCCCAGGGTCATATTAAACCTTTATACCCACATCTCTTAACAATGGCTTTCTTTGCAAAAACAACATTATCTCCATCAGTTTCTTACACTGATTCCTGGCTTGACACAGAGTTTTCCAAGAGATGCTGCACTCCTTTTGACTTAAAAAGGCTCCGTTAGATTTCAGGCAAGGCAAGGCAAAGAAAATTTATATTTAATTATTCATGTAATACCTGCAGCTAGAATTTTATTTGCACAAATTGGAAAATGGAAAAAAATCCCCCAGAGGGAGAGGTAATTAAAAATAGATTGTGCAGAAATGAACAGATTAACGCTGGCAATTAAAGAGAAGGAAGAATCAGAGTATTATAAGATATGGGGATGTTTTTTATTACTGGATAGAAAACGAATATAGACAAAAAGAAACAGGAAATTGAATAATTTGGAGAAAATGTAGAATTATAGGGGAGGAGTTGAATTAAAAGGCAATTGAAATGTAAAGGTAAAAGTAAAATAAAAATAGATTAAAAATGATGTAACTGTTAAATATGATGACACAAAGACTGTACTCAGATGACACACAGTACAATTAATGATGGAAGAGTGGTGATGGAAAAATAAATAAAAAATTGGAAAAAAAAAGATTCCAGGCGAGGTAAAACTTTTTTGTTTACTTGGACTTTCCCTCCCCGACCGCATCCTATTTGTCTTCCGATCGGCGGGGAGCGGCGTTGCCCCAACCAGCCTCGGAGTCGCTTCAGGTGAGGATCCCACGCAGAAGCGAGAAAAGGCCGCCCGAGGACCAATGGCGCGCCCTGCAGCCGGGAGCGCAGCGCACTGCAGCGCGGGCCAGCCTGCCCTCCACCCTCCCCCTCCTTCCTCCAGGTGCTTCGGAGGGCAGCCGACCAATTCTGGCTCCGGGGCCGCCGCCGAAGAGCAGCTCGCCCCGCTTTCTCCTCGCTTGGAGCCGGGCCAGCTTTTCCCCGCCCCTTGCCCGGAACAAGTCGGTTCCCTTGGTAGCGGCGGCGGCGGCGCTGACGGGCACCGCGGGCAGAGCGCGCCCCGCAGCAGCCCCAGCATGTCGTCCTCGCCGCTTCCCCGCCGCGCCGCCGTGCAGCTGGCGCCCAGCTCGCTCGCTCTAGTCCTGCGTCGCCGGGAAGCGGCCGGGGCTGAGGCTGAGGGGGCTGAGGCTGAGGCGGACGACTGCTGCGAGGACGAAGCGCGCGGCGCGGCCGTCTTCCAGGCGTTCCGGCGCGCCAACGCCGCCTGCTACTGGAACGCCGGACTAGTGCGCGCCGTGGGGCGGGTACGGCTGCAGGGCTGGCTGCGGGGCGGCGTGCTGCTCCTGCAAGGCCCCCCGGCGCCCCTGCAGCTCCTCCGCGACGCCTGGCTCCGCAGAGCGCTGCGGGCCCCCAAGGGCTTCCTCATCCGAGCCGTAGGTGAGTGAAGCGCCGAGGTAACCGCTCCTTCGGCGCCCCTTCAGAGACCTCCCCGCGGGGCTTTGGGGCCCCCAAATTCCGCCGCGCTTCCCCTGCCCTGCCTTCATCCGGACCCCCGCCAGGGGGCTCCCTTGAAGGGAGCTTTCAAAGCCCCAACCGCCCGTCGCCCATCCTGAGGAGGCGCGTTGGGTTTGGAAGCGGCGCAGGCGGGGAGCGGTGCGTTCAGAGGGCAATTGGGATTGCTGAAGAGTTACCCGGTGCCAGCCGCTGCCCCTCGGAGGCTCGGGGTTTTTTCGTTGAGTTTTAAAAAGTCAAGGGAGGTTTTCAGGCAGAGCTGTGTGTGGCTTCTTTTCCTATGCAGGCTAAGATGAGCGGGAAGGGAGTGGAGGCTTTTCAGTTGGAATTAAGGACTTAAGGACCCCTAACTCTTTGGTGCAGGAATTTGGGGTTCGCATAATATAGAATGAATAAGAACGCTTTGCATTTCTGAGGGTGAGCAAGGAAGGATGCTTAAAGGTAAGCTATATAGGTAAAGGTAAAGGTTCCCTTTGTACATCGTTGGGGGCAATGCTCATCTCTGTTTCAAAGCCGAAGAGCCAGCGCTGTCGGAAGACGTCTCCGTGGTCATGGCCTGCATGACCAATCACCAAAGGCGCACGGAATGCTGTTACCTTCCCACCAAAGGTGGTTCCTATTTTTCCTACTTGCATTTTTTACATGCTTTCAAACTGCTAGGTTGGCAGAAGATGGGACAAGTAACAGGAGCTCACTCCAATGCGTGGCACTAGGGATTTGAACTGCCAAACTTTTCTGATCGACAAGCTCAGTGTCTTAGCCACTGAGCCACCGTGTCCCTATGTAAGCTATATAATGGACAGCAATTGTATATAGTTATAAAGGCAGATAGATAGAAATATATATAGTAATTGATAACAGAGGGCGAGACACATTTGTGTGTGGAATAAATCACAATAGTGAGGTTCATTCATTGTACTATGTGGTGCATTGCTTATGGCACCAGGCACAATTGCCTGATTTATCACAAAGATGGGTTCCTGTAACACGAATTCAGAACCAATAGAACATATTACACTTCACAACCATTGGGGATTATGTTAGTCACTGCCAATGCAACGTTGATTAGAAAGTTAATTCCATATGCATTTAGCAAGAAACGAGAGTCTACATGTCATTGTCATAGTGCATACATAGAATTAAAAACAAACTACTCTAGTTTTGTTTTCTGGGATATTACTGAGGAAATGCTATAGGGTCAAGTATTTCTAGAACTAGAGAACTGGTAACACTGATAATTTTTCAGAAGGTCATACCAGGTTCAAGAATTAACTTTGTGTATTCCATGTATGTGTGATCTGGGAAAATAGGTGATTTAAGTAATGGTAGCCAGCAGTCTGAAATACTTTTTTTTTTGCCTTTGTCTGTGCAACATTGGACATCCCTTCCAGTTGTGTACCAGCTGAATTGGCAAGATGCAGGAGCGGAAGGAGTGGACTGGTCTTGACTAATGACCTTTTGCTGGCCTCAGCATTGAAACAAGTGAATAATTAGTTGAATTTCCATAGAGCACACTTGTTTACAATGTCAGCAGCAATATATGAACTATGCAGAATGAGACTGGACTCATAATATTTTGCAGTCATGAGATCATGTTGATTGGAATTAGCAGATGGCTTGTAGCCATTATGTAGAAACCATGAAGCATTCGTCCAAGATAGCCTTCCCAGCCTTCCCCCGGAATTCCTCAGCCAGCCTGTGCAAAATGCTTGGGAGACCTTTAGCGTGGTGGTTGCACAGTCAGGAGTGTTGATGACACACATATGCTTACCAGGAAAGATGCTAATCTGTGTTTAATAGCATTAAAGCTGGATAGTAGCTCATAAATTGACACCTATTGCAGATAAGATTAGATTCTCCTAATCAGAGAAAAAGTGGGCTCTGGAATAGAAAGTCAGTTCTTATAGGTGCGAGACAACTTTTCATAAAGATGTGGGTTTGTACTCTTAAGCTGTTCTGGATTCAAGTTTTGCATCTAGAGACTTGGGTAGGATCTCTTGTCAGAAATGTAGGTATTTGTTGGCTTCAACTGGTGTCATCAACAATATCAGCTCCTCATGAAATCAGACCTATTCATAGTAACGCATTCCTTCACATTGCTTGAGATGGTTCTTCAACATACAACCTTCAGAAGTTGTACTTGATCCAGAAGGCATCATTGAGGATGTTGATGGATACTCGTATCTAAAAGTAGTAAACTGTTTATATGTTTGTTCTAAATACACTAGGTACTGTCTCGTCATACCAGTCTGCCTCCCGACTACCATATGATCCATAAAGATAGTCATCAATTTAAGACCATCATAGGGACCAGAAAATTAGTCGCTAGGGGTACAGTCATTATGTGAGGCATCATGTGTCCATACTAAATTTTACAAACTTTTTTTGCTGTGACCATTAAGCAAATCAACGTAATTAAGCAAGACATCTTATGACTGTGACTTGCAACTTTTCCTGCCAGCTTCCCTATTGATTTTACTTGTGGAAACTGGGTGGGGAGGTACAAATGGCAGAATAAATAAACTGTGGAAAGACTTTCCTTCAGAAGCTGTGGGTGCTTCATCACTGGAGGCTCTTAAGAAGAGGCTGGACAGCCACTTGTCTGGAATGGCATAGGGTCTTCTGCTTGATCAGGTAGTTGGACTAGAAGATATCCATGATCCCTTCCAACTCTTGTTATTCTGTTAAATTGTGGAACTCCTTGCTTTTGATTATAATCTCAGGTGATGTACTGCCTATGTACCGTGTTTCCCCGAAAATACGACCTGTCCTGAAACTCAGGCTTTGCCACATTTTTCTGGTGGGCAAAAATATAAGCCCTCCCCTGCAATTAGCCCCCTGGACAACCCCCCACCTCCAGCCAGGAAGAGCGCCGCTCACCAACCTAGCGGTATCCCGAAGGGGCCAAGTCACAGGAACGGGGGGGAGGGCAAAGTTTATAGCTTTTCTTGGCACCTTCAGGATACCCTAAGTTGGTGAGTGGCTCTGTGCCCAGCTGAAGAGGGGGGTTGCCGGGCGACTACTCTCTTGCGAGCGGGCTCTCAAAGAGCCGGGCACAATCTCAGGGGCGAACAGCTGTGTTGCGCTGTCGCAGCAGAGCAGCCATGAAGCGACCACGCTCACAAGCAACCACCCGGCAAATCCCCTTTCCAGCCAGGCACAGTGCCATTCATTGACCTAGGGGTATCGCCAAGCCGCATGAGCACCTGTTCATCGCCGCCCAGCTCTCGCAGCTTGGCGCCTTCGAAATGCCAGTGAATGGCGCTCTACATGGCTGGAGAGGGCGATTGCACAAGCGGCTGTTCTGCTCCCGCTCGCGTGCCTTCCAGACTCACGATGCCCTGGCCCAAGCCATATTTTGTGGGTAAAAAGAAAATAAGACCCTATCTTATTTTCGGGGAAATGTGGTAGAAAGGTATTGATGTAAATTTTATTTAAATAATTATTATAGTTATGCTTAGAATGCTTTTCATCAAAAGCAATGCCTAGTCTCAAAGATGAATAGTTGTTGTATCTGTTTTCATTTATTAGATAATCTTTCTCTTTTATAATGTTTTGTTACTTTTTCTTTTAAAGGATTCTAAAGTTGTGCAGTATTGTTCTTAATTGATTGTTAGCTTCTAGGGCCAGTACACATGCAGTACAGGTAGTCCTCAACTTACAACCATTCATTTAGGGATCGTTCAAAGTTACAATGGCACTGAAAGAAATAACTTATGACCATTTTTCACACTTACAATCATTGCAGCATCCCCATGATCACGTAATCAAAAATCAGACACTTGGCAACTGGTTCATATTTATGACAATTGCAGTGCCCCAGGGTCGTGTGATCACCTTTTGCGACTTTTTGACAAACAAAGTCAGTGGGGAAACCAGAGTCACTTAACAATCATGTTACTAGCTTAACAATTGCAGTGGTTCATTTTACTGTACAAGGAAGGTCGTAAAATGGGGCAAAACTCACTTAACCAATGTTTTCTCTTAACATAAATTTTGGGGTCAATTGTGGTCATAAATTGAGGACTACCTGTAGTGAGGCATGGCATAAACTTTAATGGTTCAGCCATTCTGGTGGCACAGATTGAGTAACATCTATCATCATGCAGTTGTGTGTGTGAGGACATGGGGAGGTGCCGAATGGACAACGGGATTTTCCTCTTGTTTGGGGTGGGAGCTAAGTGGGATCTGACTTTGGAGCTTTTGAAAATCTCCTGCTGTTGTTAATTAAAAAAGACTAAGTGTCTTTTTATTTGAACTCAGTTATCTCCTCCGGAGACGCCTAATGACCTTAGATAAACAAACCATCTGTTTTTCTTTCAAAAAAAGAGAGAGAGAGAGAGAGAGAAAATATACCCGGAAATAAAATTAGAATCTCAATTACATTAACTATGTCAGCAGTCTGTGTTGCTTTAATAAATTATAAGTTCCGTATAATTCTCAATCTTAAACCCAGGCTCTTAACCATTTAAAATTGTATATTTTTACTTCAATTGGGTAAAGATTGATCTACTTAAGATTACAAAATGGGAGGTTTATGCATTTTTGTGACACCTAACTATAAGTAAAAGTGTAAGAAACTTGATTCCGCAGAAGTGAAAGCCAAATGCCAAATTCTTTTGATAATTACAAGCAACAACTCTTTCCTTGATCCTGCAACTGGACCCACAAGGGAGGCCACAGCACATGTACGGCTGCCAAGAAATACAATTCATCCAGCATATTGGTCAGGAAGGATTTCTTGCAAGAAGAAATCAAGTGGTTTCCAATTAAGTTCTGGGGAGCTGATTTTTTTTTTTTTAAAGGATTGCAAGGTATTTACTTGAGATCTGTTTATTTACGTGTTGTAATCCTTAAATGCTATAATTTAATTTAAAATGGCCCTATTTCTTAGGCTGGGCTCAGACCTTGATAGTCTTCAGATG